GGCATGAGTCTGGACAAGCCCACGCAGGGTTGATTGCCCTGTTCTGTGGTCAATGACCCCACACTTCTCCCAGTGATTGAAGAGGGGCCCCTAGAGTCATACAAATGGAACATATCCATCACTCCCCCAAAACTTCCTAGTGTCCCTTTGTCATCCCTTCTCTACAACCATTGTCACTTTAGATTGGTTCTGTCACTGTTGATTGGTTTGCAACTTCTGGAGTCGTGTGTAAATGGAATCACACAGTGTGTACTCTTTGTCTTCTTTCAGCATAATTATTTTGAGATTCACATTGTATAAGTAATTCCTTTTTATTGTCAGAGTGGATATATTTGTTTTATATCTATAATTTGTTGATCCAGTTACCTGTTGATGGACATTTGGGGTGTTTCCAGTTAGGGGCTATTACAAATAAAAGTATGTAAAAGGCTCTGTGTGAACATGTTCATTCATTTTTCTTGGCTCCATATGGCTGGGTCATATGGTAGGTGTATATGTTTTAAAGAAACTGCTGAGCTGTTTCCAAAGTGGTTGTACACTTTCACATTCCACCAGCAGTATTTGAGAAGTCTGATTACTCCCCATCTTCAGCATTTGACGTGATTAGTCTTTAGTCAGCGATTGTAATAGGTGTGTAAATGTCATTGCGGTTTTAAATTTGCATTTCCCAAGTGAAATAGTATTGAGCATCTTTTCGTGTGCTTTGCCACTGGATATATTTTGAAGGTAGAGTTTGAGGGTAGAGCCAGTAGGATTTGCAGATGGGTCAGATAGATGATGTGAGAGAAGAATCAAAAATGACTTCAGCTCAACTCTACTCAGTGCTCTGTGGTGACCTAAATGGGAAGGAAATCTAAAAAGAGTGGATATATGCATAACTGATTCACTTTGCTGTACAGCAGAAACTATACTCCAATAAAAAATTTTTTTAAAAGTCAAAAAAAAAGGTGACTTCAACTCTGGGCAGTCTGAGTACTTCCTAATATTTCTCTCCTTGATATGCACTGGCTTTTCCCTCTGGCCACCTTGCAAATTCCTAAGTCACCCAGCTTTGAAGAGCCTTCAGTGACCCCTTTGGTTGATACCCACAGCCCCTGCCTTTATCTTCACCCTGATACATCTAATTTTCTGTTTACTCATTGTCTCTCCTATCAGCTGGTGAGGTTCTAGAGAGTATGGATGTTGGATTGTCTCCTGATGACTAGCTCCTGGTGCAGCCCAGCCTCAATCATTTAGACATATTTTCACAAACTGTACTCTCAATTTACATTTCAAAGTATGGGTGCTTTGCTTCAAGCCACCTGCCCACTAGCTGCGTGATCATGGCAACCTAACACCTGTGTACCTCAGTTTCCTTATCTTTAGAATGGGGAGCTTATTGATTGATACCTGCCTCTCATAGTGATGAGCATTAAATGGAAAATGAAGGCAAAGCTCTTAGTATGGTGCCTGGCCCACGGTGTCTTCCCCAGTAAAATCCAGCTATTATTTTCTGACCTGAATATTTTACAGGTCCTTTGCTGGAACTCAAATATAGGTGCTTTGCAAATAGTTATTCATAAAATCTCAATCTTTTGAGAAGTGGGCGAGGAAATTTCTCTGTTGAGGTCTGATTTCTTGAATCAGTTAACTGAATTGCTTCCCTGCATTGGGATCCACCCTGTTGTTGAAAGTTTTCCATTTCCACTGCTGGTCCTGGACCTCTCATTGCCTCTGGCCACTTGCCTGCTGCCGTGACTCTGTCCTCTACACTGATGCCCTTGGGGGTGAGACAGAAGTATCTTTTCTTTTTAATGTTTTTCTTTTTTTTCCCGGCCGCACGGTGTGTCTTGTGGGATCTCAGTTCCCTTCAGGGATTGAACCTGAGCCCTCGGCATTGAGAGCGCAGTCTTAACCACTGGACCGCCAGGGAATTCCTTGGGCAGAAGTATCTGAAAAACATTCCTTTGTTTCAAAATCTCTTTTGATGGTCCTTATAAGACACAATCGAAACTCTAGCATTCCAAGTTCCCCCAGTTTTGTGCCTTCCTAACAACTCTCCAGCCCAAATGTTAGCTTTAACATTTCATTCATTCAATTAAAAATGTGTAACACCCCTTCTGTGAGTACCTGCCAGGAGCCAAACATGATGGTCAACATCTGAAGCTGAAATGTGAATGTGGGGCGGTCTGCTCTTGAGAGAGCAGTAAAATTACGGGCAGAGGAAGTACCGTGGTGGGAGGACAAGGGTGAAAAGGGAGGTGCTCAGTAAGCGGAGGGGAAGATGCCAGGCAGAGGGACATGTGATCCTACTTATCATTTATTTGTCATCAATCCGTGTTTGTTTTGTGTCCAGGCTGATGCTGCACCCCGAGCATTTAATAGATTTGATGCTGCCTTCCCAAGACGGGGGCAGGCCCTGGGTCTGGAACCTGGGGTGGGGCAAACTGTGGAATGACCAAATGACTGAAGCCTCCCTGTCCAAGGAGGGCATGTGCAGGAAAAGGTTCCTGGTAGAGTGCAGTCTGTATCTTATCAGTCCTGAGCCCAGGGACCACTCCCAGCTGTGGCTGCACCCAGAACACTTGGAGTCTTCTCTCCAGGGGTATCTGTTGGCATGATGGTAACTGGAGAAGACACACTTGTGCAGATAACCAGATTCTGTCTGGTACCAGGGTGACCTCCCTGCTCTCTGACTCGCAGCACTGACTCCAGGCTTCTTAGACTCTGATGTGGACAAAGAGTATCACCTGCCACTTCAGTAAACAAAGGATGTTGTGGCCATCAAGCCAGTAGCCACTGCAGCCACCCCTGATGGTGCGCCCTGAGAGGATTCAGGATGGAGAAGAATAGGAGACTGGCCCTAGATAGTTAAGGTGCGTATCAAACAAGTAATTTCAATAAGCTCAGACTCCTGCATCTTCCCACACATAGAAGAGTGCTAAATTCATTAACTTAAGATGTCTGGTTTTCTTTAATTAGCAGTAATCTTTTGATGTTCCGACTACTTGGGTTTTTTTTGTTTTTGTTATTGCAAAAACTACTATATATCCTGGCTCCTCCCTTACCTCTTCGGAACAGTCCCTCAGCTATCTGAGATGCTAATATCCCAAGTTTAAGTCCTCAGTAATACTGCTGAATAAAACATAATTCTCAACTTGTAGGTTGTGCATTCTTTTTCAGTCGGTAAGTGTATTGGTCAACTGGCTAGCAACTGGAGACAGCTGCTCCCTGTCTCTTGCCTTGGGCAAATACCTTGCCTGAGCTGGCAGGTCCTGTGTCTCTCCTGAAATGGGACTAATAATCCATGTGAGAGTGTGTGCTGTGTGTAAAGCAGCTTCCTAGGCCTCAAAGGACAAGCATGAGAGCAGCTGAAGAGTTATAATAATAACAACAAAAAGTAATATAGTGCTTATTATGTACCAGAGATTGTTCTCAGTGGTTTACATATATAAGCTTATTTAATCCTAAAACCATCCCACAAAGTAGGTACCAGTGTAGTGATTAATAGCATATACTCTGGAACTAGACAGCCCAGGCTTAAATCCCTTCTTTGCCATTTACTAGCAGTGTGACCTGGGGGGAGGCCTGTGACTCAGTGTCCCCATCTGCCAAAAGAAGAGAATACTAATACTACCTCATAGGGTTGCTATGAGGATTAAATGAATTAAAATGTATAAAGCACACAGAACAGTGGCTGACCCATAGTAAAAGCTATCTAAGTCTTTGATAACTCTCATTTTTATAGATGAGAAAACTGAGGCACAGAGAAGTTATTTGCCTATGATCACATAACTAGTAAATGATGGAGCTGGGAATCAAACCCTAGGAAGTCTGGCTTCAGAGCCTACACTCTTAAATATTATGTCCTAGCAATGAAGAGGGGATGTCCACATGAATTACTTTATGAGGGAAATGGGTGGGGGAAGCCCTGAATTAATTGATGTGGAAGTTTCTAGCAAGTATAATAAGATGTCAGTGTTCCTTCTGTTGTGGTAAGTGAAGTTTGCAGCAGTGGGCTGGACTGTCCCCAGGTGGCCAGAAGTTTCTGAAAGAGGGGTCTGAGGCATAAGCAGGGGCTAAGAGGCTGAGGTTTAAGCCCATCTCCCCAGGCTCCTGTCTCATAATTCATTTACCCCCCTTTCAGCACCCTGTCTTGGATGTGGGGTGACACTCAGGAGGTACTTGGTAAATGGCAACTTAAAATGGAAAATCCTTGCTAAGCCTCTAGGAGTTTAAGCATGTGGTAAACTGAATTCAGTGCAACAGTTAAATTCTGGGCCATGGGGATACTGCTGTGAATTGAGGGGCCACTTGGACCTTAGCAAGCCCATAGTTCAAATGGGGAGACGCACAACTCAACAAGCAGGTTGTGGGCCATGGACTCTAAGGATAAACAGGAACTAGTCGGGTGGGAGGGGTGGGAAGTGTACTGGGCCCGAGTAAAGGCCAGGAGGCTAGCGAGTTTTCTTTGGCTGGGGGCGGGGGGTTGGGGGTTGGGGCGGTGATCTGGCAGAATCCTATAAATACCTGATTACAGAGTATTTTACCCTGAGGGAGAGGACCTAGATTTTAAGTTCTGGAGAGTCAAGATCAGGTTTGCATTCTGGGAGGCTCGCTTTTGACCGCCAGCAGTCAAGCTGAGGAGCTGGAGCCATTGAATTCGAGGCTGGAAAGGAAGCAGGGAGATGGTTTGAAGGCACAGCCCCGGTCTAGGTGGGGCTGTAGGGACGCAGGAGCGGCTTGGACTAGAGCTGGCCCTTTTGCACAGGTGGTTTCCCCGGCCTGACTCTACCATCCTTGCGGCTCACTTCCTTTCCTCAGTCTTTCCTCCAGGGCCGCCCCGGGCACTCTTGGCTCGAGCCAGGCCTCGGTCACCTGGCTGCCTGTTCTGAGCCACACCCACGCCCTCTCCCTGCCCTGGGGCTTCAGGGCTCTGCGCAGGTGCGGTGTTCTTCGGCTCTCCGGCCCCGCCCCCCGAGCACGCCCCGCCCGCTGGCCCCGCCCAGCGCACGCCAGCCCGCCCGCGCGCCAGGCCCGGGCGGCGCCGACGCGCTTGGCGGGAGATAGAAAAGTGCTTCTGTGCGCGCCGGCGGCTACCGCGGCCCCTGCGAGCAGCTGCGGGACCTGCGGCCACGCTGACGCTTCGCAGCGCGGCCCCGGGGCCCGGAGCGGCCGGAGAAGCCCGCCCCCTGACCCCGGCCCGGCTCCCGCTCCGGGCTCAGCCGGCGGGCGGGCGAGCGCGGCGCGGCCCGGGCCGGGGGGATGTCTCGGCGGACACGCGGGTGAGAGGAGCCGGGAGGCTAAGGGCCCCATCCCCCTCCCCGACCTCCCCCCCCAACCCCGACCTCTGCCCCCACCCTCGCCGTGCCCTTCTGAGCCGGGCGGGGGTGGGGTCCTCAGGAAACGCAGTGTCCTGTGTCGCCCGAAGCGGGGAAACGCGGGGGGTGCGCGCGAAGCCGGGGTCTCTCGGGGTCCCCTCGCTCGGCTCCCTGGGCCTCGGAGCTGGGGTGGGCGGGTCTCCTGGGACCCGGGCCAAACACTGCATGATGTCATTTTGTCTCCCGCCTAATTGCGGGGTGGGGGTGGGACGGCGGTGTCAGCTGGAAGGGGCTTTACCGGGGAGGGAGGCGACCCCTGGAGAAGGAAAGTGATTTTCCAAGTCACGGCGAGCGGGCGGCCAAAGCCTGGGAGACTCTTGTCGTTCAAGCCTTTTGGGGTTCAGATTTGCTGGTGGCCATTTCTTAACATTCGGGGAAACACAGAACCCCAAGCTCCCTCCCCCGACCTAGGAAGGATGCAGGAGCGGGGGGGTTGACTTTTTGGTCCCTCACCACCTGGGTTGCGGACCTCAGCTCGTTTTCGTTTCGGAGACCTGTCTTCCTGTTCCACATGAGGGGTTTGGGGCAGCTGAGGTTGAAAGCGAGGGGAAGAGAGACTGCTGTGTATCGAGACCGCTCTGTGCCAGCAGCCCCTGGGGTGGAGGCAGGAACTGCGGTCTCCATCTTACTTAACTCGCCAGAGAATGAGTAGCAGAGTCAAGCCAAGAACCAGGTCTGTGGGCTCCAGGTCCGTGTCTTAGACCTGTGCACCCGGTGCCTGAGCTCTGGGCTCTTCAACCAGTCTGGGAGTCACGGAGGACAGTGGGATTCTGCCCTGTTCCCTCCCTGGATTCATGCAGCCCAGATAACTTCAAACCCCACTTCAGATGGTGTTTGCCTTCTCAGGCCCAGCATATAGACCTGAGAAGCAATCGTTGCTGGCTTTCCCTAGAATTCCTTTGAGCAAGGAAGCATCTGATCCCTGGGCAGTGGTCAGGCTCAGGGTGTGTCTTCCACAGGCCACAATTTCTCAGGGCAGCTCCAATTCCCAAGGGTTGTTCTGGGCAGGCACTTGTCAGGCCCTGAATTTCTGGTTCAGAAAGTGTTAACTCCAGGCAACAACCAAGGCCCCAGACAACGCCCAGGTCCTCTGCTGCTTCCCTGGGGCTCAGTGGAGGACCCCCCCCCCCTCCCGCCAGGTGAGGGATGAGTTCTGTACCCTGGAACAGCATTCAGTTTGATTCTTGGCCACTCGCTGTAACTCCCCTCTGCACCAGTGCCCTGCTTCCTGCTCAGCTTCTGACTCACCCTATCTGGAGCAGAGCCCAGCACATGAAAGGGCATAGAGAGGGTGTGTTGGACCTCCATGTGGTTGCCACTACTGACTTAGCCTCTGCTTTTCCAGCTGGGATTACGAGATGAGGACTGGAAGGTGCCGGTTGGAGCCTGGCTTAGTGGAATTGGCAGGTGGCATAACCCTGTGAGCCTCAATGTTCACGTCTATTAAATGGGGATAATGAGAATGCATGTGAAGTAGGCAGTCATCATCGTGTTGGTGATAGAAGTATATTACCTCACAGAATTCTCCCAGCCATCTGAGCTGCTCTCCCCATTAAATAGAGTATTTTGGAGCACCAGAGAGTGTTACACAGAAACAGTCTCTTCCTCGAAGGAACATTTGCTGAGCTTCTGTCAGAAGCTGGGTGCCAGAGAACCAAAGGTGGTTTCTGTCAAAACGGAGTCTGGGAGCAGTTGATGTTAAAGCCAGCTTCCTTCTGTTACTAGCATCTTGTAGAGTTTTTTTGCCTCCTACTTTGCGATAGTGGAGGACCCCATGAATTGGGTTGGGAATGACAAGACAAGGCTGAATTCCAGCTCCTCCTATGACTGGTGTATTGCTGGGTTTAGAAATCCGTCAGTGCTTTCCTTTCCTAATTCTAAAAAGTTTACTTATATTAACGTTTCTTATCGACTAAGAGGCAGCAGTTTTGCGTGTGTATTCATTCCTATGTCCAGCCATTCCCAGAGCAAACATTTCTTAAGGCATTTTGATGCTACCCCCCAAAGGCCCTACAGATAGGAGGTGGAGCTGACCTCTGTCCAGGTTGTCAAGGAGACAGGCAGTTGCAGCCTAAGGGCTTATGTTATGAGACGGGAGGATTTCCAATGTGCTCTGGGGAGTGTGGGTGTGATTAGGAAGATGCTGAGAAGGGGAAAGGAGCGTGGCCACAGAAGGAAGTCCTCTTCCTCTTTTGGAGAGGCCTGTGCTTGCCTTGCTTGTATGTAGACGTGTAGGCTTTTTTCCCCACTTAGAAATGCCTGACTTCGGAATGTCCCTGACAGAGGTGACTAATGGAGTTGGGAGGGTGCTCTTGCGAGCCCCGGACATGCCTGGGGGTAGATAGCATGATCTCCCTTTTTGTAACTGTTAAACCTGATAAATAGGAAGATTATGGAGTAACTTGGAAAATTACCTGTTAGAAAGTAAAAGCATCCAGAATTCAAAGCTGCTTGTACTCTGATTTTTAGCTCCATAAACTAGACCTGTGTGTAGGCAAGGATTGAGAAGGGCTATGCAAAAATGGACATAGTTACTGAGATAATGTATTTTATAGTGATATTTGTTTTTTGTTTTTTTTGCGGTATGCGGGCCTCTCACTGTTGTGGCCTCTCCCGTTGCGGAGCACAGGCGCCGGACGCGCAGGCTCAGCAGCCATAGCTCACGGGCCCAGCCGCTCCGTGGCATGTGGGATCTTCCCGGACCGGGGCACGAACCCGTGTCCCCTGCATCGGCAGGCGGACTCGCAACCACTGCACCACCAGGGAAGCCCAGAGAGATAATGTATTTTAAATGGTTTTCTTAAACAATATTTCTTAAAATCCTGGTGCTTGATGATTACATACATCATCAGCTTTTTTTTTTTTTTGGCTGTGTTGGGTCTTTGTTGCTGCATATGGCATTCTCTAATTGCAGCGAGCAGGGGCTACTCTTGGTTGTGTTGCGCGGGCTTCTCATTGTGGTGGCTTCTCTTGTTGCGGAGCACGGCCTCTAGGCACGCTGGCTTCAGTAGTTGTAGCACGTGGGCTCAGTAGTTGTGGTGCGGGGTCTTAGTTGCTCTGCGGCATGTGGGATCTTCCCGGACCAGGGCTCGAACCCGTGTCCTCTCCATTGGCAGGCGGATCCTCAGCCACTGCGCCACCAGGGAAGCCCACATTACATCATCAGCTTTAATCCTTAAAATACCTGTGCAAGTTGAAAAATTTTGTTATTTAAAAGAAAATTTGAAATAGGTGTCTGGTGTTGAATATAATATTCTTGGTGAAATCTTTTCTCTTTTATAAATTTATTTATTTATGTTTGGCTGTGATGGGTCTTCATTGCTGCACATGGGCTTTCTCTACTTGCGGCAAGTGGTGGATACTCTTCGTTGCTGTGCGTGGGCTTCTCCTTGCAGTGGCTTCTCATGTCGTGGAGCTCCGGCTCTAGGTGCACAGCCTTAAGCATTTGTGGCGTGCGGGCTCAGTAGTTGTGGCTTGTCGGCTCTAGAGCGCAGGCTCCAGTAGTTGTGGAGCACGGGCTTAGTTGCTCCGCAGCACGTGGGATCTTCCCAGACCAGGGCTCGAACCCGTGTCCCCTGCGTTGGCAGGTGGATTCTTATCCACTGCGCCACCAGGGAAGTCCTTGGTGAAATCTTAACTTCTTTTTTCTTGTAGCTTTTGAAATCATTAGAGTGTTAACTGAAAATGAAAGAGTGAAGAGGACTTCCCTGGTGGTGCAGTGGTAAAGAATCCGCCTGCCAACGCAGGGGACACGGGTTCGAGCCCTGGTCCGGGAAGATCCCACGTGCCGCGGAGCAACTAAGCCCGTGCGCCACAACTACTGGAGCCTGCGCTCTAGAGCCGACAAGCCACAACTACTGAGCCTGAGCGCCTAGAGCCCGTGCTCTGCAACAAAGACAAGTCACCGCAATGAGAAAGCCCGTGCACCATAACGAAGAGTAGCCCCAGCTCGCTGCAACTAGATGAAGCCCGCGCACAGCAGCAAAGACCCAATGCAGCCCAAAATAAATAAATAAATAAATAATTTTGAAAAAAGAGAGAGTAAAGAAAAAAATAGCCCATAATCCCATTTCATTAAAATGTTTTTAAGAAGAGGAGAGTGGAAGTACCTACATTTTACCTACAGTAAAAGCCTGCGTCCCCAAAACCTTTCCCTAGAGGTCATGGCCACAGTCCACACTGTCCATCCATCATGTAGCAAGCAGGTGGAGAGACACATGTCCTTGACCTTTGGCTTGCTTTCCCTGCAGTGAGGAGCTGGATGAGCTGCACTACCAGGACACAGATTCAGATGTGCCGGAGCAGCGAGACAGCAAGTGCAAGGTCAAATGGACCCACGAAGAGGTGAGTGACACCGAGGGGCAGCTGTGGGGGTGGAGGTGATGGCAGCTGGGAGGCTGGACCAGGAACAGAGCCTGGGTTGTGTCTGCCTGATGCCCTGACCAGTATGATGAAGAGGAGGAGCTGATGAAAGAAGCAGATGGGGGAATTCCCTAGCGGTCCAGCTTTAGGACTCCGTGCTTCCAGCGCTGAGGGCCTGGGTTCAGTCACTGGTTGGGGGAACTAGGATCCCACAGGCTGCATGGTGCGGCCAAAAAACAAAAAAACAAGAAGCAGATAGGCACTCTGGTTCTCCCTGATGATTCTTCTCAGAGCATTCCTGGGTACTCTCAGTATTGAGGACTCTTAGGGGGATGCATCTCTCAGACCTTGGGGCCAGCAGTTGCTGTTGTGTCTCTTGAAAGCTGGTGTGTTCTGCATCGTGGACTTTAATTGTGCTTCTTGTCCTTTAACTGCTGGGAGGTTTAGCCAAATCTGCAAACCCCCTCTTTATTATCATTTAAAAAAAATCATTGTATTTTGTCTGTGATAGCAAGCTCTGAAGTGATTTTATTCTTTAATCAAGTTTATGAAGTAAAATTTATATACAGTCAAATGACCTTTTTAAAGTGAACAGTTCCAACAGTTTTGATAAGTGGGTATTACTCACATAAGCACCACCTTGATTGTCCCCGGAAGTTCCCTTTGTGGTCCATCGTTCCTGGCTCCAGGCAGTCGCCCATCCAGTGTCTCTCTGTTTGATCATTTTGCCTGTTCTCGAATGTCCTACAGTTGAAATCATACAGCCCTGCTCTTTTCTATCTGGCTTCTTTTGTTCAGCATAATGTTGCATGATTCAGTAATTTGTTCATTTTTTCTTCCTCAATAGTATTCCATTGTATGGATAGACCATAGTATGTTTCCCTTGTTGATGGGCATTTGGGCTGTTTCTAGTTTTTGGCTATTGTGGATAGAGCGGCTGTGAAAATTCTTGCCTAAGTGTTTTTGAGGATTATGTTTTCATTCATCTAGAGAGGATACTTAGGTACACTCATGGTGTATGTATATGTTTAGTTTAGAAACTGTCAGGTTGTTTTCTGACTTGGTTGTACCAATTTAGACTCCTACTGGCCTTATCTTTTTATTCTACCTCTATTTTCCTGTATATGTTTAGTTTTAAGTCTTTTTTTTTCCCCCCCTTACTGTTTGAGTTGTGAAACACTCTTAAATCATAAAAGATGTTTCTTCAGAGGAGTGCTAAACCAGCCTTTTCTGTTCATCCCACTGTGGACCAGGGACTATATTCCACTCTTGCAGGCTTAGAAGAACAAGCAAGATGGGGTCCCTACCCCAGAGCATCTCTCTGCCTGGACCATGCCCAGGCCCGTGGACATGCTGTGGCCATGATGATGCTGGCAAGACCAGCGTCTATTTTTTTTATTATTATTATTTTAGTTACTTTTGGCTGCGTTGGGTCTTCATTGCTGCACACGGGCTTTCTCTAGTTGCTGTGAGCGGGGCCTGCTCTTCGTTGTGGTGTGCAGGCTTCTCATTGCAGTGGCTTCTTTTGTTGTGGAGCACTGGCTCTAGGTGCATGGGCTTCAGTAGTTGTGGCATGTGGGCTCAGTAGTTGTGGCTCGTGGACTCTAGAGCACAGGCTCAGTAGTTGTGGTACACGGGCTTAGTTGCTCCACGGCATGTGGGATCTTCCCGGACCAGGGCTCAAACCCATGTCCCCTGCATGGGCGGTGGTACTCAAAACCACTGTCCACCAGGGAAGTCCCAAGACTGGTGTCTTTTGTGCTCACTGTGGTGTCTCTCCGTCTTATACTAAGCCTCCTACATGTAGAAGGCACCTGTAATTGTCGAAATGCCTTTTTTTTCTTTTTCCTTCTCTTTCTCTCTCTCTTTTTTTTTTTGGCCTAGAGGCTTGTGGGATCTTAGTTCCGCGACCAGGGATTATAACTCGCACCCTCAGCAATGAAAGCGCAGAGTCCTAACCGCTGGACCACCTGGGAATTCCCCAGAATGCTTTTAGAAGTTGAGCTTACTGTTGTCTGAGAAGTTAAGAACAGTTTCGTGGGGTAACGATTTGGAAATTCAGCAGTCAGTTGTGCAAAATGGTGGGTAAGTCAATAGGAAATGGGTTACAGGTGGAGAAAAGCCAGAGGAGCCCCCGTTTGGCTGGAGCGAAGGGTCCTTAAAGAGGAAGCGTGGTTGATTAAGATGGAAAGATCGAATGGGGTCCAATCCCGGAAGGCCTTGGATTTCGGACTCAGAGATGTAGGCTTGTTCAGCTGGCAAGGTGAAGCCATTGAAGGTTTTTGAAGCAGATACGGGACATGACCACAGCTGGGCTCCAGGGAGCTAGTCTGCTGTGTGTAGGGTGGGTAAGGGATTTGGGGGCAGCCTGAGGCTGAGGGAGGTGGAGAGGGTGCTGTGCTGGGCAGGTGGGAGAAGATGGCTGCAGAGGGACGAGGACAGTGCAGGCAGGAGTGGACAGGTGGAGGGGGCCCATGGGGTCCGGCAGGAGCTGGAGACGAAAGTGTACCCCGCAGTCGTCGGGGAGGATGGTGGTGCTGGATACAGACACAGGGGACATGGGCAGAAGGCAGGGGTTGGCCTGGCCAGGTCGGGCAGGCGGCAGGGGAGGGCAGGGTGTCTGGGGCTGGCTTTGTGGGTGTGGGCTGGCTCAGCTACAGGATTTATGGGGACTTCGTCCAGCCGATGCTGGGCTGTGGCCAAGCTGCAACTGAGGGTCTGGATTTCTCTGGTGGCCTTTTTTTCTGTCCAGGAGAGAGAGAAAAAGAGAGAGAGAGAAAAAGAGAGAGAGAGAGAGAGAGAGTGTAAAAACACCTAACGTTAAATGTACCATCGTAACTATTTTTAAGTGTACAGTTCAGTATGTGAAGTATATTCTCACCGTGCAGCAGGTCTCTAGAGCTTTGTCATCGTGCAAAACTGAATCATTAAACACTTAATTCCCCCCTCTCCTCCTCCTAGCCCTTGGCAACCACCTTTGTCTACTTTCTGTTTCTATGATTTTGACTGCTTTAGATTCTTCACAAGAGTGGACTCGTACACTGTCCTTTTGTGTCTGGCTTATTTCGCTTAGCATAATGTCTTCAAGGGTCATCCACGTTGTATCTTGCAACAGAATTTCCTTCTGTTATAAGGCTGAATAATATTCTACTGTATGGGTATACTACATGTTCTTCTTTTTCTTTTTTTTTGATTGAACCCAGGCCCTTGGCAGTGAAAGCGTGGAATTCTAACCACCGGACCGCCAGGGAATTTCCTACATTTCCTTTATATATATAAGATATTAAAAAATTGATTCGATGGAAGAATACTTTACATACAATCAACTACAACCATTAAAGTACAATTCAGTGAGTTTCAGTGGACGTGCTGCTACCATGAAACTCCCAGCATCGTCATCGTAGAGCGCTTCCATCACCCCAGGCATTTCTTGCTCCCTTTGCTGTCCATTTCTCTCTACCACCACCCCTGACCTCAGAGACCACTGACTATCTTTTTGTCCCTATAGCTTAGCTTACATTTTTTAGAAGTTCTTAAGCACAGAATCGTGCAATGTATACTCTTTATGTCTGGCTTCTTTCCCTCATCACAATGATACTGTGATTTCGTGTTGTTGCGTAAATCAGTAGTTTATATTCAGGAGAACGTTTTAACAGGTACTGTTTTCCTTCCCTTCTGACTGCTCTCGATTCTGCCCATGTCCCCCATCTCCAGTGCTGGGTCACTGTCGTCTCTGGCCCAGGTGCCTGTAATGGCCTCCTCTCGTTCATTCTGCCCACCTGTAGCCCCTTTTCCTGCAGCTGCCAAAGTGAAGTTCATAACAAGCACATTGAACCGTGACCACCCACTGCTTCAGTGCATCAGTGGCTTTGCATGACGCAGAGGCCCGAATCAGCCCTGCATGTGGTCTGGCCCCTGCCGTCCCCCCCAGAATCCTCTTGCATCCCTCTTGCTTGCTTCCTGCATTCTAGCCTCACTGGACTTCCTTGGAGCCTGTCCCTTGGATCCCCCCAAATAGGCCTCACCATCGACCTCTCCGTACCCCACAGCACCTTTCCTTTTGTTTGCAGGAGCCTTTGATTAACATCTGCTTCCCTCTAGACTTTTTAAGTCCCATAAGGTTGGGCAGCTCCGATGCTGCCCGCTGCTATGCCTGGCGTGCCTGGTGTGTAGTAGGTGATCATTTCATGACTGAGTGGATGAGTGAGGCTGTTTCCTTTGGGGAGGGCTCCGTCAAGAGCAGCTGTTTTCTGCACACGTGTAGCTGAGCCCTCTGTCTTTCCGGCTTTGGCAGGATGAGCAGCTGAGGGCCCTGGTGAGGCAGTTTGGACAGCAAGACTGGAAGTTCCTGGCCAGCCACTTTCCCGTGAGTGCAGCCCCTCTGCGGCCCCTCCCCCAGGACAGTGGGCCCAGGGCAGACTTTCTGTCAAGAAGAAAGGGGGGTTCCTTACCAAGTGCCTCCCAGCTCTCCCAACAAAACAACCTTCCAGGCTTCCTAGGCCCTTTCTTCCCAAACCGGAATCCAAGGCACCCTGGTGTAAGCGTCTCCATGCAGCAGCCTCCGTGTGCCTGGGGGTCTTGGGCTCCGTTATCATGAAATCAGATCAGTGACATATTTGCTTTTCTTCCTGCTAGTCAGGAGCGAGTTGGTGCTCGGTTTCTCAACCGTGAGACTGAAGCTGAGGGGAAACAATACTTGAGCAGGCTCCATGGGGAGGCCCCTGCGGAGCTGGCTGGTGCCACCATGTCCAGCATCTAGAGGCTCCTGGTGATGCGGGTCCCCCTCAGGTCCCCCACCCCCAGCACTGCAGGCGTCTGGCAGGGAGGGGATGTGGCAGGAGCTGCCGTCGGCTTGTTTCCTGGCTCATCGGGCAGTTCAGGGACCAAGTCACCAGACCCTCCTCACCTCCCCCTCCTCCATGTGATCTGAAACCTTCAGGGAGATACTGCCCTCCCAGAAGCAAGCAAGGATCCCTGATGTAGCCTGCGGGCTGGGACGGGGCAGCCCCCTTGTGTTGGGGCAGCTGGTGGTGGCTTCCCACATGGTTCTGAGCTTGCCTGGTTCCATCTGGGCCCTCTGGTAGCACAGGGAAACCATGCGTGTTCCGGCCCGTGGGCAGGCAGTGTGTGGTGGTGCAGGGAACAAGACAGAACCCCGCTGAGGTGTCCCCTGAGCCCAGTGTGTGTCCAGGGTCCAGGGCCACCATCCCAGGAGTTCTCACGGGTGCCTGTCCTCTTACCAGAACCGCACTGACCAGCAGTGCCAGTACCGGTGGCTGAGGGTCTTGAATCCAGACCTTGTCAAGGGGCCATGGACCAAAGAGGAGGACCAGAAGGTAATGCCCAGGACAGTGCCTGCCACATGGTGGGCCTTTACCCACCCCCGGGAGTCAAGGGACTGAGGCTGCCCTGGGTGTTGGCTGGTCTGTCCAGCTGGACCTTGGGTGTGTGACATCCCGCTGGTCGGTGCTGGGGTGGGGAAAGGGCCGGTCCCGCTGGCCTCACAGCAGCTTTCCCCCAAGGTCATCGAGCTGGTCAAGAAGTACGGCACGAAGCAGTGGACGCTGATCGCCAAGCACCTGAAGGGCCGGCTGGGAAAGCAGTGCCGCGAGCGCTGGCACAACCACCTCAACCCCGAAGTGAAGAAGTCCTGCTGGACGGAGGAGGAGGACCGCATCATCTGCGAGGCCCACAGGGTGCTGGGCAACCGCTGGGCCGAGATCGCCAAGATGCTGCCGGGGAGGTGAGCCGCCTGCCAGGGCCTCTGTGGGGAAGTTGCAAGGCCTGGTCCCATTTCTCTGGAGTTGTTCACTTTTCCCAGAAGCGAACGAGTCCTTCAGATTCTTGCCGGGCTGGGAGGGGATAGGGGAGGGGGGGCAGGGGGGGACCCAGCTGCAGGGAGTCTGGAACAGGGAAGGGAGGCGGGCCTGGGGGCCTCCCGTTCACTCTGCAGACTCTCATCTGGTCCCGCTTTCGGCTCTGTGCCATCTCCGCCCTCTGCTGTGGCCGGGGTGGCCTGGTATTGTTTTAGAGAATAAACCTCTTTCCTCATGCCTGTGAGGTCAGGGCCAGGATCTGGACGTCCGAACCACTGCCCGTTTTCACCCTACTCTTCACCGGGTCTGGCCCCTCCAAGCCCTGGGCCTCTTGGTGTTCTACAGGGAGCATTAGGAAGACTTGGCTCCATGCTTGCTAGAATCCTGCTCCAGGGTCAACTCTCAGTCTCCTAAGTTGCTCACTGCTCCCGTAACTGCTTTGCATCTTCTGGAAACTTATAAAAAATCACTTACTCACCACACTATCTTCTACCCTGCTCTCTTCGTCTGTGTGCATTTTTACCTTATTTTGTTTCCTTTCTTTGCCATGGCATTGCGGTCCTGGGAAGGAGAGGAAATAAAATGCCAGATGGTCTCTTTCCCCTGGAGTCTGGAATCATCTGTTGCCAAAACTCAAACCGGAGTGTGTTATCCTTTTGGCACTTCTTATAACACTTGGGTTGAGGACTCGAGCCTCTTTCCCATGTGGCCAGCCTGGCCTGGCTGATGCCACCAGCCTCGCCTTGATCTGCCGTCACCCTTGCTCATCTGTGGGGCCTTAGCTGCTCCGACCTCCTCTCTTCCTTAGACAGGGGAGAGCTCTTTTCTGAGAACCAATGCCCTGTGCTCCTGGCAGCTTGGATGCCCTCTAACTTGTGCCCATCATGTAGCCAACACGCTCTCACCCTTTGGTTCTCAGTGGGGACATTATTTCCTCAGGGAAGGTTTCTCTGTCCTTTCCAACTGTGATCAGTCCCTGGCCACCTCCCCACCGTGCCCTGACCCCTGCCCAGTCAGCACTGTGTCCTGACAGCCCGCAGTGGGAATGAACAGAGATCCAGACCCTCCTCTTAGACTGGTGGCTCCGTCAAGCCGCTATTCTCTGTTCACGGTTCAAGGGAAAAGCACTCTGCTCGGAAACCCAAAGAAGGCAGCGCCTCTGTGTGTCTGCACTTCTGAACTGCTGTAGGTGTCTGGGCTCTGACACTGCTGAGCCCCCCGTGCTACACTGTGACGCTGCTGTGTGCTTCTGTAGTTTCGTGCTTCTTTGTGCTTCCTACTGCTGTCTGCTCCTACTACTCTGTTACTCTGTCCTGCGGTACCTGTCTGCTTCTCTCCCTCCATGCTTCCCTGACTCCTGTACCACTGTGCTACTTTCTGCTTCTGGAGTGTCGTGTACTACCCTGACTTACACCATATATGTTTCCGCTTTAATCTTCAGCAAGTGATGGAGAGTGAATAGTCTTTTGATTCTCCAGATAAAACAGCCAAGGCTCAGAGTGGCCAGTAGTGGGTCCTCTGTGCCCCCTTTGGCCATTTTCTGTCTGTGGGACGAGATCAGGGTTTGTGAGCCTCAGGACAGGGGCCAGCGGCCAGCAGCTTGCTTACGGTTTCTACAAATGCAGAGTGAGTGGGAAAGGGAGTGAGAGTTCCCAGAATGTTTCAGTGTTAGGATTTTACCCTGTAGCCTGAATAAGACCTTTGCTTATTTCTCAGAGGTGTGTGGAAATACTCCGTAAATCGTTACAGGCTGCAAGCATGTCAGACTTCATCTTAGAGCTGAGAGCCCTTAGAACTCCTCAGGTCAAACCCTCATTTACAGAAGCGGGAGCTCAGCTCAGGGAGGCTAGTGACGCGCCCGGTGGCGCGCGGGCCCCAGTGCTGGGGTCAAAGATCCCCGGTTGGCCCCTGTAGGACAGACAATGCTGTGAAGAATCACTGGAACTCCACTATCAAGAGGAAGGTGGACACGGGAGGCTTCCTGAGTGAGTCCAGAGACAGCAAGCCCCCCATGTACTTGCTGCTGGAGCTGGAGGACAAGGACGGCTGCCAGAGTGCCCCGGCCTCAGAAGGCCAGGTGAGTGGGGCGGGGATGTCAGGCAGCTTGGCCACTGGGCTTGGGTTAGTTGGTTTGTTTTCATGTGTGTCCGATGCCGTCTCACCAAAACCTATTCCTCCTTTTTCACCTGTTCCTTAATCCTACAAGAGGTTCTCACTGTGGCCTCACATCTCTCACGAGGGCCTTTCCCTGTGTCACTTGTGCCCGTGCTTAGTGCTCATCTGTCCACAGATGCAGGATGCCAGAGCCGATGCCAGGTGAAGAAGGGTCAGGTGGGGAGGTCCTCAGCCTCCTTCTGTCCTCAACAGCTTCCTTCCTACCCGTTGCTCTTTCCAGTCTTTTCATACTAAAAGCACATACGCAATTCTAAACAAAATCAGATTTGTTGAGGTACAAGCACATACAGTAAAATTCACTGTTTCGTGTGCAGGTCTGAGTCATGACAGCTTTAAACAGTCCTGTGGCCACCACCACAGTCAACACACAACCTCTCCATCACCCCCCATATTCTTTCAGCCCTTCTCCCATCCTTAGTCCCTGGCACCCTTCATCTGTTTTCTGTCTCTATAATTTTCTAGAAAGTCATATAAATGAAGTCATATGGTGTTACATTTACAATTGTTAGCATCTCCCATCCTACACTCCAGAGCATACTTTTTTTTTAAATTGAAGTATAATTGATTTACAATATTATGGTAGTTTCGGGTGTTTATGGTTATTCTTGAACTATCTCATATGATTTATTCTTAAAAAATAAAGATTTGAGGCACATGTGTCAGAGTATGAAGATAGGACGTTGCTGGGTACATGGCAGGTGACACGCTTCCTGTACACTGTTTTCCCATCTTTTCTGTAATCGTGAACTATTGAATAGTTCTTTTTAATGCTCCACCTTTCCTTTTCCTGCTGGCCAGATTATAACTGTTCACTGCTCCAGTTCTGCAACACCCTGCTGGAGCGTTATATCATGTTTTTGCCTCTCTTTCTGGATTTTTCAGCTTCAGAGACTATTCCTTGCTTCCCAGATATGAGAGCATCTATGCGGTAACAGTTGAAAAAGCTGTGAAGTGAAACGTAAAAGGACTTCTCCCTCCTGTCTGGATTCCCCATGGGTCCCCTGACCAGAGGAATTCACTTCTCAGTTTCTTGTATGCCTAAGTAATATATTTTCCAGGCTTTTACTTCTGATTAAATAAAAAGGATCCGTGCCCCAGAGAGAAACAATGTGCGTCAGCAAACACGGAGAAGTCGTCTTTCAGGATAGGGCAGAGTGGACAGTAGTCTCTGAAAATCCTCCTTGGCTGAAAGTCATTTCCTTGACTCTGTTTTCACCCCCCTGGTGCTTTGTGTCTGGGAGGCTGGCCCTGCTGGGCCAGGGGGAGCTCCGGACCTTGATCCTGAGCACACAGGTCTGGTTACACTGTGGGTTTCAGCCTCACCCACTCCTCTCCACTGTCATTTTAATGGTTCTGTTGTGCTGGTAATTTATTTAATTAAGGTTACACCTGACTTTTTGTTGTTAGAAACAAAACTTTAATGGTTGTCCTTGTAGCTAGATCACTGCTCATTTGCTCAGTTGTCTCTTGGGAAATTCCTAGAGGTAGATAGATACATTCTTTAGAAACTATAAGGGACTTCCCTGGTGGGCCAGTGGTTAAGATTCCCGCTTCCAGTGCAGGGGGCCTGGGTTCGATTCCCTGATCAGGGCACTAAGATTCCCCCATGCCGTGTGGCATGGCCCCCCGCCCCCCAAAGACAAAAACAAAATAGACGTTAATACATTTTGCTAGATTGCTTGCCAGAAAATGTTTACGTGTTCTGTGTGTATGGGACTACCTCACTAGTCAGTGCTTGCAATTATAAATGATAAGTACTGAACTTGATTAGAAATTGCCAGACTTTTCAAAGTGGCTGTTTTCTGAAGTGGGAATCACATGTTGGTAGCTTTTAAATAGTATTCATAGCATTCTTCCGCTCCAGTTATAGCAGTTATAAGTTTTTAACCCAATCTGCTCTTATCTCCTTTTCTTCCTTTGCTTATATCACAAACCATTTCCATTCTGTTCGCTTGACAGCAGTGGTAACAATAGCTACTAATTAGGTTGAAAGGTTTTCACACAGTTGTTGATCTGTGCGCCCTCCCTGCTCAGTAAGCCTCAGTGTCCTCATTTTATAGGCGAGGAAACTGACCCTCATCACAAGCTTGCCCGAGCTGGGAAATGGCAAAGCTCTGTCTGCATCCAGAGCCCACGTTTTCCCCCCATTAACACCAGACCCCGCTTCTCGCTCTCGACCAGGCCTGTGTTAATCACCTGTGCTGTTTTCAAGGCTCCTCGGGGGCTGTCAGGTCAACGAGTCAAGCTTGTTTCCGAGGTTCTGCCAGGAGAGCGATTGCCGTAACGATCTACCTCTTTTTCTTTTATTTCTTTTCTGTCACAAAATTAGTCTCCACTCCTTTTTCAAACTTTCATTTTGAAATAATATTAAGTATACAGAAAAGTTGCAAGAAGACTGCTTGCCTATATCCTTTACTGGGTTCGTTAATTTTTAACATTTGTCAGATTTGCTTTATCTTTCTCTATGTACATTTATTTTTTTTAAAGACCCTGTAGTTGATTATTTACTTAATGGCTATGGCCATGTGGATCCAGGCTCCCTGCAGTGAAAGCATGGAGTCTTAGCCATTGGACCACCAGGGAAGTTCCAATATGCGTATTTTTTTAACCCGAGTTATTTGAGAGTTGATTCCATACATTGTGCCTTTTATTTCTTAATACTTGAGTGTGTGTTTGCTCAAAATAAGGACATTCACCTGTGTGATGACAGTACGCACTTGGAGTTTAACATTGGTGTGGGACTTTTGACTAATCTACCGTCTAGATTCCACTTTTTCCTGCCCACGATCCAGTCTAGGTTTAGACACTGTTTCGTTGTCATATGTCTTTCGTCTAATTTTATCTGGAATAGTTCATCAGCCTTTCCTAGCCTTTCACGATACTGATGTTTTTGAAGCGTAAGGTAGGGCTAGTTATGTTATAGACTGTCTCTCAATTTGGGTTCACTTGAGTTTCCTTATCATTAGATTCGGGTTGTGCACTGTTAGCTGGAATACGGCATAGTTTATATCTCATAACAAAAAATCCAAACCGCGTGCCCTGTGCCCACCAGGGAAGTCTCGTGACCGGCTGGCCCCCGGCGTTCCCTGCCCTGAAGGAAGAGGAGAGCAGTGAGGAGGAGGCCACGGCGGCTGCCCCCTCCCAGGAGCAGGAGCCTGTCCCCACGGAGCTGGACGCAGTGCGGACGCCGGAGCCGCTGGAGGACTTCCCCAAGCGTGAAGACCAGGAGAGCTCCTCGCCGGAAACCAGCCTGCCCTACAAGTGGGTGGTGGAGGCCGCAAACCTCCTCATCCCTGCCGTGGGCTCCAGCCTCTCTGAAGCCCTGGACTTGATCGAGTCGGTAATGTTGGTCACGGCGCTTCACAGTGGGCCCCGAGCACCCCCAGCAGGGAGCGCTTTCTCTCCGTAGGCGTCCGTCCTTCCGTCCCTTCGTTGTCTCGCTGATGTGGTTCAGCTGGTGCCGAGTGCCCAGCCCAGCACCAGGGCCTGGTGACGCCAAGATAGTGGCTGTGCAGCGCCTGCCCTCTGGGAGCTCCTGCCTCACCTGTACAGCGCAGGGTGGGCTGGGAGGGCTCGCGGTGGAAGCCATATGACAGAGTCCTCAGGGCTGACGGGGGAGGGTGTTTGAAGCGATAACACAGCCCGGGTGGGTACTGGTGTTTGTGGCAGCACAGGTGGTTGGGTGTCCCTGGAGAGGACCCTGGGAAGGGCCAGGGTTTGGGGCTGCAGTGGTGAGTGGGTCCTGATTACTCAGGTACAGCCGCCCCTGGGGCTGCACTGGCTGTGGATTGTGCCCCTTTGGGGAAGGCACCCTGGTCGGGGGTGTACTTCTTGGTGTGACCTCCCAGGTCTATCAGCCAGGCCTGTGGTGTGAAGTGGGTTTTAGGAGGTGGTGGGCAAGAGGCCGGTGACCAGGGGTAGAGGGGTTCAGTGGGCAGCGCCCATACTCACCTTCCCACTTGGGCTTCCTCCTATTGGCTGAGAATATTGACGTTGTTTATTGAGCGTTTGCTAAATACCAGGCTGTGGGCTTAACATATAGTCCACATGGTATCCTGTGAGGGGTGTCCATTCTGTGTTTTGCAGATGAGACTGAGGCTCAGAGAGATCAAGTAAGTGTACCCAAAGGTCAAAGGTCACACAGCAAGTAAGGTCTTAACCATCATGCTGTGCTCCACTGTCCTGCCCAATGAGCATTTGGATGGTGGGGTGGGTCTCAGGTGGGCTGTCTGCTCAGACCCTCTGGCTCTGGGTCTCACCTCTTGCCCCTAGTGGCTGGGACCGTGGTGTCCCCTTCACTACAAGGGATTTCAGAGTAGCGATGCATGTGTCAGTCTGTTCAGCAAATAGCCCCAGGGCCACCGTGGGCTGTCACTCCTTTGGGCTCTGAGGAAGGGTTGAGATGAGAGTGGGCCCACTCTGCACTGCTGGTGCCGGTGAAGTGGGTGGTGGACTCAGCTCAAGCTCAGAGAGGTTGGGAGGCTTGTCCAGTGTCACACAGCTGGTGAGTGCCGAGCTCGAGCTCTCCACGATGACCTTCAGCGACTGATGGGGAGTGATAGTAGTTGCAGAAACACTGCCGTCTGTCTCTCCGGGCAGTCCTTGTAGCATATGCTCTGGTCTGTTAGATGCCATCCATTCCGGGGCCTCTCCGAGGTTGGGGTTGGCTGCTGGGAGGAATGCCTGGAGACGGCACAGCTCTGAGCTGGCCTCCACCCTTAGCAATGAACTTGCCAGGCTTCTGTGAGCTCCAAGGACCAGAAATAGAAATCACCACTAGGGTCTTGGTCCATTCAGGGCCAGACCTCCAGGGACCAGTGGAAACTTCTGTATCCAGAAGCCCTTGGGCTGGATTGTAATTTACTGGGCAAAGGCAGAAAGACCTGGGCGTGCCTCTTAGAATTGCTCTTGGAAACTTAGTGACTTCAGGCCGATCACACCCTCTCTGACCTGGCTTCCTCAGTATGAGAGGGGTAAGTAATGCTTCTCTAGCAGGGTGGCTGTGGGGTTGGAAACAGTGTAGGTGAAGCACCCAAGGAGGCGCTGCGATTGACAGGGTCATGGAGTCCAGTGGTGCGCTCTGGGTACGAGGCTGGTAAATCAAGACCCTTCAACCTGCTCACGGCCTTGGGCCCAAAGCCTCACTTCCAGTTCTCTGTGAAGGAAATAGCTACAAACGCAGGAGAAGATTTACATCCAAGATGTTCATAAAGATGCTATTTTTAATGTTTAAGAATTAGGGGGGAAAATCTAATGTCCTATAGAAAGGGGATAATTATGTAACATGTTCAAATGATGGTATATTTTACAGCCCTTAAAATTGTTAAAAGTTGACTTTTTTTCACTATAATAACAACTAATATTGATAGTAAATATTAAACTCATAGGTAATAGAATGAGGTGCAGTCATTATTCCAGCTTTACCGAAACTTTAAATGGAAAAAAGAAGTTAAATAGAAATGATTTGTACTAAAGTTAGAAACATTGAAAAATACTAAATATTTAGGGTCACATGTAAGTGGTAATTGATAAACAAATGCATAAAGATGGTAAATACTAAATTCAGGCAGTGATTTCCTGCATGCAGGCAGAGGATGTGCCAGGTGGACCTGGAGCTTTAGTGATAAGGTTTTATTTCTTAGGCCTATTGATGGGTATGTGAGTTTTCTTTGTATTTTTCTTTGTGCTTTTTGTGTATCTTAAAAAGGCACAGGACATTTTTGTAAATAACAGCAAGCAGCCATAGCCACGATATGACTTCAGTTATGTTTCCAAATACAGATACAAAGACTTAGAAGAATCTGAGGAAAAGCAAGACAATGTTAAGGGTGATGGTTTCTGGGCTGTGGGATCATCCTTTTTTTTTTTGTCTGGGCCACGCGGCTTGCGGGATCTTAGTTCCCTGACGAGGAAACAAACCTGTGCCCCATGCAGTGGAAGCGTGGAGTCTTAACCACTGGACCACCAGAGAAGTCCCTGTAGGATCATGCTTGATGCTTGTGTATTTTCCTTTAACGAATGAGTGCTGTGGTATGTCAACCGGTAGAAAAGCAGGGCCGTTGCAGTTATTCCTAAACCCCCTCTCTGGGCAGGACCCCGATGCTTGGTGTGACCTGAGTAAGTTTGACCTCCCCGAGGAGCCATCCGCAGAGGGCAGCATTGGCGGCAGTCCGGTGCAGCCCCATCCATCGCAGCAGCAGCAGCAGGCCCCGCCAACCCGTCAGCCTGCCGCCGCTGTGCCCAGCGTGACCGAGTACCGCCTGGATGGCCACACCATCTCGGACCTGAGCCGGAGCAGCCGGGGCGAGCTGATCCCCATCTCCCCCAGCACTGATGTGGGGGGCTCGGGCATCAGCACACCGCCCTCGGTTCTCAAGCGGCAGAAGAAGAGGCGAGTCGCCCTGTCACCTGTCACGGAGAACAGCGCCAACCTGTCCTTCCTGGACTCCTGCAACAGCCTCACCCCGAAGAGCACGCCCGTCAAGACGCTGCCCTTCTCGCCCTCCCAGGTGCGTGGACCCCACCCCGACTGTTCTCTGGGCGCGGGTGACAGCCGCCCTGTGCCCAGTGCTGAGGACCCTGGAGGGCAGAAACAGGCCTGGCCCTGCCCTCATGAAGCGTCCGTGCTGATGGGAAGACCAGTTAATAAAAAAGGACCCAAATAAACGTGCTGAATGGAGTGAAAAAGGCGGCTTATGGTACTTCGGGTGCATCTAGTCGGGGAAGGGTGTCGGCCAGGCAAGCTTCTATGAGCAGGGGTATTGCTGGAGCTGGGGGCAGAGGGTGATAAACGGACCAAGAAGGGAAGAGGACTCGGTGTGTGTTAAAAGAGTGAGTTTACTGAGCACCGATTTTATAGCAGATTTGCCAGCCCTGGGGAGCGAAGGGGCTGATGACAGCCCTGCCCATGGAGAGGATGGCTGGGGTGAGAGGATGGCTGGGGTGGGGGACTTGGTGGTCACAATGTCCTGAGGAAAGGGCTGTGGGAGGAGCAGTTATTGAGTCGCTGAGAGCTTGTTGTGTTGAGTACTGCTTCCCAGGCTCTGTTTGTAATAGACACAGTGTTGGGGGGAGCCTGGGGGGCCCTGTCTTTCCTAGAGGTGAGGGAGGCACTCAGAGAGTGGTGTCTCAGGTGGGGTTTGTTGACCGATTGATCGGCTTGAATAAAGGCTTGGAGTCAAGGGGAGAGCAGAGTATGGTGTGAAGTCCAGAGCTAGGACTCATGGATTGGGGGCAGGAGGACTGATGGGGACAGGAGGAGGGTTGAGGGATGGGGGCTGGGGCCTCGGAGGGTCCTGGGTACAGCTAGGGGGTATGCACTGTGCTGGGGGCTGTGGGTGGGGGATAGACTGGAGGGGTGGGGCAAGAGGGGGGGCAGAGGCTTTGGGTCTCAAGGGTCTCCTCCCTCCTGTGGGGACGTGAGAGAATGAGGCCCAGTGGTGGCCTGTTTCCAGAGGCCACCCTCTCTGCTGTAGAGGGACTGAGGCCAGGCCTTTGTATCGGGATGTTTGGTGGTGTTTCTGCAAGGTGCCCTGTGTTAGTTCACTCGGGCTGCCGTGACAAAGAGCTGCACACAGGGGGACTGGAACAAAGGACTCATTTTCTTAGTTCTGGAGTCTAGAAGTCCGAGAGGGTGCGAGCAGGATTGGTTTCCTCTGAGGTCTCTGGCTTCTAGGTGGTAGTCTCCTCTCTGTGTCTTCAGGCGGTCTTCCTTCAGTGTCTGTGTCCTAATCTCTTTTCTCTTATAATCTCTTCTTTTGTAAACTTCTTCTGAGGACACCAGTCATTGGATCAGGGCCCACCCATGTGGCCTCATTTTACCATAATCACCTCTTTACAGGCCCATCTCCAAATACAGTCACAGTCTGAGGTACTGGGAGTGACGGTGTAAACATGTGAATTTGGGGAGAACACAGTTTAGCCCATAGCAGGTCCCCTGTGAGGGCTGCTGGCTGGAGAAGGAAGACAGCAGGGCTGGAGCTGCCCAGAGAGCAGCCCAGGGTGACGGGGTGCAGCTGCCCTGCCCAGGGACCCTGCAGAGGGCAGTGGGCCTGAGGGCTGCAGGTGGCCCTGAGCTGCCAAGGGCACCTTCAGGGCAGAGGGGTGAGGGTGGAGCTTCAGGTCTGGATTTGAGTCCCGCCTCTACCTCTAGCACTCAGCGCAAGAATCCAAACCTCTCTTGTCTGTAAAGGGGGATCGTAATCTTTACATTTCAGAGGATCTGTGAAAACTATGTGAAATTCTCAGTGTGCGGTGCTCAGCTCTGGTGTGAGAGGGTGTGTCTAAGTGTTGATGTCACCATCTCAATCATCACTGATCCGTCTGTCGCAGTTCATTTAAGAGCTACTTTCTTTTTTCTTCTGAAAAGGAGCTGCTCTCGGTCAGTTTCCTTTGCCTTAAGTACACTGTCAGCAGCACGTGGGGGTGGGAGATGGACCTCCCATCATCCTGGCAAAGCGAGGATTGCGTGATGCCCAGCCTGGGGTCTACATGGACCTGCTCAATGGGTCCCTGCCCATCTGTCCTGGCCTTTGCTCTCTGGCGCCTGCCGGTGGGCTCTTAGGTCATCACCTTGTCTTGTTTCCTTTGTCTTCCTGGCAGTTTCTGAACTTCTGGAACAAACAGGACACACTAGAGCTGGAGGGCCCCTCGCTGACGTCCACCCCCGTGTGCAGCCAGAAGGTGGTGGTCACCACACCACTGCACCGGGATAAGACGCCTCTGCACCAGAAACACGCTGCGTGAGTGCTGTGCCCCCGCCCCACCTGCGCTGGGCCTGCCCCTCCCCAAGCAGTGGCCGGCCTGGCGGAGGAGGTTCTCTGCGGGAGGGACCCCTTGGAAAACCACCTGAGACTCTGTTACAGGAAGGCCGCCTCCTGGTCACCACACCTCTTCGCTTCCGTCAGGATAGTCTGCTGCTTCACCTCTGTTCTAATTCTTTCTTTTTTTTTTTCTTTTTTTTGGCCGCGCCGCATGGCTTGAGGAATCTTAGTTCCCTGACCAGGGATTGAACCTGCGCCCTCGGCAGTGAAAGCACGCGGAATTCTAACCACTGGACCGCTAGGGAATTCCCCGTTTTTATTTTTTAACTTGATGGTTTTCTAATCTCAGAAATAGAGAGAGTCCACACTGCCACGAAGAATTTAATCTCTGCATCCTTTATAAGTTTCAAGTGCAGATCCACTGTGTTTGAGTAGCCCTACGTGAAGGACAGAAGGGCCCCCAGTTCTCTCGTCTCTCTGGTGCTTAGTCAGGAGGGACGGCCGTGCCCCACCTCCCGTGTGTATGAAGCACAGTGTTTCACCTTCAACCTGTACAGGTTGCTTACCTGCTTCTATGGAGGTGCTTTCACAATAAGTTTCCTCCCTAGTGTCATCGTGACTCTTGAATTCCAGGTAGAGAGAGTTACTTAACTGGTCTTCTGCTTGTTACGTGTGCCGGGGAAGAGGCATTGCTATTTATGTTTCAGCAGTTAAGTTGTAATTCAGAAATCCGTTCAGGAGTTTTAGTTCTTGTAATGATATGTAATTTCAGAAAAGATGTATGAATCGCTTGGTCAGAAGTCAGTCTCTCGAGAGTTGATCTCACATTTAACATAAGTAGGCTTCATGAGAAATGCTTCTCCTTTCAAGCCGAAATCCTGGACTTCAGATCTAAGCTCTTAAACATATGCTGGAAGCAAGAAAAAGAATTGATACTTAGATGCGTTTCGTGAGAAATGATTCTCTATTCAAGCCAAAATCCTGGACTTGAAGTTCTTAGACAGCTGGAACCACAAAAGGAGTCGCTGCATCTCCGGAGAGAGGTTGGAGAGGGATGCAGTCTTCCTGGATCCCCACCTTCCTCGCCTCCCCCTTCTCTCGCTGGTTCTGCAGTGTGGCCACAGGCCGGCCTTGTTTTATGGAGAATCCTAGTGACAGCAGCCTTCTCAGTCGTTCTTCCAGCCTTTCGGGTGTGCTGGACCCTCTCAGACTCT